AGTCTAGTCTTAATATATGTTAATACTATATATTGAATATATCTATTAATATATTATTTATTATAGATATTATTAAATATATATCTCTATATTCATTATATTATATACATACATATATACATTTTATATATGATATATTTATGTATATCTCTTTATGATAATAAGATGTATACCATCAATGCAATTAAAGCTTAGTATAACTCAGAAATTTAAATTCAACATGAAAATCCCTGCTCGTTCCTGGCTTGTTTTCTCAATTTTGTAACTGCTTGATTTTGCTCAGTGTACATCTACTCTCAACCAGCTTCACATTATGACAGCCATTTTCTGTACAAGCACGCCCACATAAAAGAGGCAGTTGCCTAATACTTTTTATAGGCCACGCATTACCGATAAGAAACTCTTTCGCATAGAGATTCGTACGATACGAAAATGGGGGGTAGAGCAGCCAATGGGAGAACCAAAGAGCAAAGCTGAAGCTGTCGAACTTTGCTAGTGGAACAAGAGCAGGGAAAGTGGGCAGGGAGGCGGAGGCAGCTGTCGGCCGTATTTTTGGGTTAAAATTTATGCGCTACGCATGCAGATGAGGGTCGCAGCACGTGGAGTGGGATATATAGACATAGTTTCTGAGTGTGTGTCGGAAGTATGAGATATTTCCGTTTGAACTTAAAGTTGATTTGGGCTTTACGACTCAGCCCATCAGCAGATGGATGTAAAAAAGAAATATATCAATACATATATAACATAGAGGTGGGTGGGTTGCCACACCATCTCCATTGCCATCTAATCTAGTATCCAGCTGTTGCAACGTACCCTTGGCTTCAATTACAGCGCGTCAACAAAACCATTAGAAGAGGGTTATGGAAGGTTATAGACTAAAATTGAAGCCCACACCCGATTAGACAAATTTCTACACCTTAATTGCTTGGAAAACAATCAAAAATATGTCTCTCATATGCTGGTCTCTCACGGCTCCGTCTGCTCTATTCCGGGGTAGGGTTAAGCGCAGTTCAAGTGGTCAGCGCTCGATCTAACCCTTAAGCGTGTGTCTGTGTGTGAAGGGGCGCCAACTGTTCGTGCCTGTAATTTGAATTTAATAGGAATATTATTTGTTTGTTTGCCTTGTCCAGTCACGAACCCACAACGGAAGTCCACAATTTGCCCAGACTCAAGGGTTAAATTTCCAAATAAAACAAAAAATGAACAGCTAACTGGTTTTGCTGTCTTGCTTATTGTTTCGTATCATGTGATCTATTGTCAGTTGTGTTTGGATAGACCATATGAGTAGAGTTGATGGACTCCGATAGGGTTTCGCATTTGCTCAGCTAGGCAATTAAAGGGTTAGGTTTACGAGTGTATCTGTGTGTGGGTGTCTAATGGTCTTAGTGAGTGATGGGATCAAACTATGCATAGGGGCTGAATATATGCTCATAGTGCAGTCATAATTTGATATTTATAAGGCTGTTATCACATTATTAATAATTGGTAACCAAGAAGGTATAGGTATAAAAGGGAAAATATTTTGGAAGAAAGCTAGCCGGAGGAAAATTATAAAAAAAATAAAACTAGAGAAAGAGTAGATTTGTCATTGGAAAAGTAGAAAAATTTGGAAAAGCCAAACCAATCGATTTGGTGATTTTTGGGGGGAAACTAAAAAAATCGGAAAAATATTCAATCAAACAATTTTCAAACACATTTAGTTTTTAATTACCATGTAAACTCAGTATCTGTATTCCCCAAAAATCTACAAGTAGAGAGCTTTACTAGTCAGCCATTTCCCACATTTATTTCATTAATCGAACCTTTGTCCATTTGTATTATAGTTTCGGCCCTGATCTAAATAATCAACAAAATTAAGCTGCTTCCTTGAAAACCTGTCTATAACACCTTGAAAGCCCCTAGTTTGCATGTTTCGCTACAATTTTTGGGCTTGATGTCTGTTTTCCTTTAGCCTTCAGCCCTCAGTCAACCCGGGCGGACATAATTTGAAGAGTCATGAGTCAATTGCGAACCCTTTCCGCCTGTCAAATGGCTGCGAGGCAGACAGCTCGACAGACAGCCCGAATAGCAATCAAAAACATGGCGCTGCCAGCAATTTAAATAAAATGCCGCTACAAACACGCCACCTGGCGGCCGTTGTAGAAATTTTGATTAATAAAATGACGCCGACACCGACTCGAGACGACCCGTTAAATGCCTTCGCGTGACAAACGCAAACTGTCAGCCCCCACCAGGCACCGCCTCACCCCCTCCCCAATGGCTAGTTGAATGTAAACGGAACCAATACATTTGTGAGCGTAACATGCCATAAATCAAGCGATACGTTAACTTGATGATTTCGCGTTATAAACAGGCAACTTTTTATGCCACGAAAAAACTAAAAAAAAAATGAAGCAACTACATGGAGTCGGATTTGGAATACCCTACTAGATAACTGACTGCTAGACTTTTCTATTCATTTGAAAATCATGAATCAGTTGATCAATCCTAAATATCGTTGAGAAATGTTACAAATATATAAATATGAAGTTCGCCATTAAAATCCAAAAGCTTCAAGAATGAGATTGATATATCGGAACTTTAGACTTGGGTTGAATTTTAAATAGTCTTAAAAATTTTAATATAAATTTAATTCAGAATTAATATATAATAATACATATATATATGTATATCCATAAAAATATATATCATGCTATACGAACTCACATTTCCTTTTAAAAAACTCAAATACCCAATGCAAGAGCAACAAGAACACGAGCCCAAACTTTCTTGTTTATATTTTGGGGTGTACACTTAATAGTGTCCACAAATACATCCAGTCCCCCAAACACACATGCACAGTGAGAAGACGAGTCACATGTGTATTAACGGTTTTTCTAACTGCTTTTGGGCTCCTAATGCGGGGCACATTACAAAATACAAAACCAAAAAAGAACTCAAATGCTGGGCACTTTTTGGCCATTAATCAAACTATCTCACGCACACACACACACACCCATACACACGTCAATACCGAGTGCGCGCGTGTGTGTGTGCTTGTGGAGCCAATCTGTATCTTTGTATCTCTTAGCTGCAGATATTTACTTGACTCTTGATAAGCAAACGAAGAAAAAAGGCAAAAATAAGAACAGTCATGGCCATTCGTTTTTTAGCATATGCTCCCAGTAGTAAATTAAGATGCCCAAGCAAAGCAAGAAGAAGAGGAAGAAGAAGATGTACAAAAAACAATCCTAAATAGAGATGCTTTTCGTACTCTCACATGCTTCACGAGCTAACGAGAGCCGGGCCTTTAGGTTGCGACTTTTGCCGTCAGTTGACAGTTTGATTAGAATTTGACTGGAGGGCGTCGCAGTGGGGGTACAGTTGTGTTTGCGTCAACTACCAAAAAGCCAAAAACTTTCATAGGAAATGGCCCAGGACTCGGGGGAAGGCTGATTAGGTTAGCTGCGAGCTGTTTTTTTTTTTAATTTAAAACTGTGTGTGGAGATTTGTTTAACAAAAATTATCATTTTGTAGCTGTATTATATTAAATTCATGTTTAGAATTTCTTAATTCTCATTTTACGTTTAACTCCCATAGTTCGAGTATAGTTAAAGGGATTCTATTTAATGAATTCCTTCAATTCCAATCTCAAAGTGAATCCTAACCTCACTTTTTGCAAATTTTTTTAAAACTATATACTACAGTTCCATCCACATATCGAATAAGATTTCTATTTGATAAACATCTCTTTCCTTCTTCACCTTTCTCGAGAAGCCAGATATGTCGAAAATTGAGCAATCGCCAGTAGTGGACCTCACGCTGATGAAACTGTTTAGATAAAACAAAAATGAACGCTTAAAAAAATACATGCTGAAGATGCAGAGGGTAAAAAAGGACAAACGGACATTACGTGCGGCTTGTCTGGCGTGCGGGCAAATAAAAAATCACATTAGAAACACACGTTGCCATCAACACTTCAAGCGAAACTCGTCGTGTAATAAATGATCTATGTAATAGACCTATCTGCGTCTGTGTGTGTGTGTGTGTGTGGCCGAAGAGAAAAAGTTTGTCCATAATGCTTTTATCTGCGACAGGCCAAGTGTCCAACTGCCCGCCCCCACATCTTCTCCTCCAACAGTCCGACAGCGAGGTGTGGCGTGGTCTTTCATTTTTTTAGGCAAATTTCGATTGTGTGCATTAGATTAGCAGGAGTTAGGCTTAGGTGTGGGTGTTGTGTGCTGGCCACATTATAAGGGTGTAAATAAAAATATTAACACTAAACCCACATCCAAACATACACACACACACACATGACACACACGGCACACACGCACACCCCAATCAGAGAAAGTTACCCCCAGCCAAGCGACACTCGAGATTTGCCTCTTCGCCATTTGGGAGCACATGCATTAGCATCTTATGGTTGCGGATTCGATTTGCGCTTTGCTTTTTTGTTTTCGGGAAGCTCTTTGCCATTTAAATTGAGTAATCACTGGGGGGCAAAAGTTTTGCTCGTGCAGCACCCACTCACCCTCCTTTAGCTGTCTTTTTCGCTGAGTAGGCGCTGTGGCACATGTGATGCAAATGAATGATTGGACTTGAATCGAGACTAGGGCAGGAACCGACTATTAGCTCAATTGGTAGCAGCTTTGACAGAAGCTATGATGAACTGAGTCGACTATGGCCGACTGCGAAGTGCGCTGCACACGGCTAACCCAGATACTCTTACATGTGTGGATGTACTTCTGTATTATCTACATATTTCTATTATCATATCAATACTGTAGAAAGTGATGAGAAAGTTATTAGCTACATTTAAGATTGCCTCAAGCTTATAGAAGGACAACAAATCATGTATGTAGAAAGTTTGACCTGATTGTCTGCTACCGATATATAAAGTTAATGCCCTATGCAAGCAGTCTGTATATGCTTATCACAAAGTCAATTGCATCCAAATGGGATAGGTGTCCATACATAAATCCACATGGCAAGTAGATGATCGTATTGTATAATAGACAGACGGACCTAGGCAAAACGACTCAGCTCCATTTCTTCCTTTTATATTGACACGAGCGCATTCAAAATCAAATCTATAAAGAAATTTATTTTAATATAGATATGAATATAACCATATTATGATATTTCAATTGACTTGCGGTTCATAGCAGCCCGTGCTGCTTACATATGAATGCCATAAGGGCCATGTCACGCAGCTCCAGGGTGACCCGCTGGCGGTGCATGGTCATCATATAGGAGTCCTGGAAGCGTTGCGTCAAGAACATCTCTGTTGCCGTTTGCAGCGCCTCCAAGGCGCCCATTGTGATGCGAAAATGCGGCTCACAGTCACACCTCTCGAGCATAATCTCGCGAACCACCCGGCCAAAGGATATGCGTGGAATCATAAAATTAGGCGTACGCTGCAGCAGACGAACTTCGCGTTTGAACTTCTGCGCTCGTCTGAAAGGATTCGATTGCTTGCGGCGCTTTGAACTTGTTGGTTCGAGTGGACGCTCCGGTTCTACTGCACACGCTGGTTCTGGTGGACACTCTGGATCTAGTGGAAACACTGGTTCTTGTGGACACGGCAACGTCGGTAAAAGTCCTTTCCTAATTGAAGGATTTGCTGGACAAACAGCAACAACGTCTTCCTCTTCGTTGTCATTAATTCCGTCTGCATTCTTTGATTTATCTAAGTGCTTCTGTTGCTTGCGAGTCGTGGAGCAGCGTGGAACTCCATCAAGTCCAAACGCAATAGACAAGTCCGATCCGGAGTCATCAGAATTTGGCAAACCAGACCGACGCATATTATGAGAATGATTTTATGGTTTTTTAACGTCACTGTTAAAAGATTTTCGTTACACAATACTTTCAGTGCTGTAAATGTTTGAAAACTGTAATGAAGTGAACGGCGTTCACTCGCAGCTTAACCTTTTGGAGCACAGCTAGAAAAGTGAGCGATTCAAGCGAAATTAAAAAATTTAATTTTTGTGTAAATATTGTGTTGAAAATTGATAAAAAATAGATACATATATAATAATTGAATTAGTGGCATTCAAAAGTAAATCAAGTAAAGTGATCATATAAAATACTTTCAATATAATATACATATTTGCAAAATTTAACCAAAGAATTTTTTACGTAAGTGCAGTGTTGAAAATGATTGGAAGTTTATCAAATGAATGGTGTTCACCCGCAATACAATTACAGTGAAAGAGTTCACTATGCGGCTGTTAATCCATTTGAAATAAGCTAATTTTTTATTATTTTGTGCGTTTAAATAATAATAAAGTGTACGAATTAAGTGCGCCTTTAGTTAATTTCAAAATGTTGTAAGTTACCAGAAATTTAATAGTATTTGTTGTGGTTTTTTTTTGCAATTCATAATCGTAAAATTTTCATATGCATTTACGTGTGTGTGTGAGTACGTGACATAATTTTTTCATGTCAAAAAAAAAGTCCCACATGTTATTGGGCATTTATATGTGTATATGTTGGAGGAATTTTTTAAGCAATATGTGTGTTTGTGCTTATGTAAATGTGTGCCGTGATGCTTGTGTGATTTTCAATCTTGCCTCTCGCTCTAGCGCGTATGAGAGTGCATTAAGCGCTAAATAAAAAATCCCAATTGGAATGTCGTAGCACATTCGACAGCGCAAGCCAATGTGAGTAAAGTAAAACTAATATTTATTGAATTGAAAATGCGGGATTGTTTTCTAATAAAATCAGTCATCAGTTTTGTTCGTTGCCCTTTCCCTGAAGCTTTTGCTATAATAATTATTGTCCAGTCAGCCTTCGCATTTACTGTACCTATGCATCGGATAATTCACCTGAGACCAATATAGCATTAAAGATAGCTGCCTAATCCCCTAGTGTAGATCACCTGGACTCTCACAAATCAAGTGCATTACTTGTCGAAATTGAATCCTTCGGTCGTGCCCAAGTCCCTTGCCAATCCCCTATAGCAATCGCACAATTACGAGCCATGAGCTGGTGAAATTTGGAACGCACGAATGACTTTACCAAAAAGGATTAAAGCCGGCCAAATTAACCGAGAGCCGAGCTCACAATAATTGCTGCTGCGTCTGAGTGTTTTTTTAAGCCACCCACACAGACAGGACCCTCCGGGCTAAGTTAAGTAAACAGTTTAGCCGAGAGAGAGAGGTTACTTGCAAAATTAAAAAAATAGATGAGAAGAGAAGTGAGGAGGGTAAGAATGTTGAGTCTGCGTCTTGGGACAGCCTTTGTTTGTTCTAATTAAAACGGCGCAGGCGTGGAAAATGCAACGTCATGAGAACTGCAACATGGACGTTGTCTATATGGAGAGCTGTACGTACTTAATGCCAGTCAGCTAGGTAGCAGAAACTGTATCTGATTTACATTTCTCTTGTTTGCATAATGCAAAATATTTGCCCATTGTTCGCATGTCAGCGAGCAGCAGGCATCAGGCATCAGGCATGAGGCAGCAGGCGTTGCAGCTAAGAAGATTCGCAATGCCAGCGTGGCTCGAACCCGTGACCACCAAGAATGTGGCCGGTCCTTTGCTTTGCATACGATTTGCTGCTACTATTCAGTGTCCTGTCCAAGGTCCTGCGGCGTGTGAACGTCTCCCTACTGCTTTGCTGCCCAGGCAGTCATCTACTTTTTCCGCACTATTTTAAATGATAATTTTTAGAGAAATGTTTTTTAAATCGGCCGGGTCATGGACCAAGGTCAAGTGCTTGAGATGTGCCAAAAAATTGGTTTCTTTTTCTTTTCTCTATTTTTTTTTTTATGTATATATTGTTTTGCAGAGGTAGGCATAATATTTTGATATTTTGCATATGTTGTCCAGGACCTTGGGGTCAAGTTTTTAAGTGGCGAAAAACTGTGAGAAATGCAATTTATATTTGGAAGTTCTTGGAAGTTTTAGATCAAGAGATTAAGTGATCTTATTTGAGCTGGGTTTGATATCTTTGAATTTAAAAAGAATTTGAATGGAAAAAGAAGGGCGGTATTTTAATCTGATAAATATATATATTAAAAATACAATATCTCATGTACAGTGAAGTCTGTTAATTTTCGCCTCTATTGAAATTCTCAAATAAGAAAACCACTATAGATTTATATATTGTTTAGTATTGTATTGTTTAGTATATTATATTTTAATATATATTATTTGAATGAACATATATTTGCTTTTTTATAATATATTTAATATATCTTTCAGTACAAGTGCAAAAAAGAAAATATATTTTTCCAGAAGATGACTTTATTTAACAATCTTTTATATGTATGTATGTACATTCGGATCGGCCTAGAAAAAGTGTCATCCGACATTGTGCAAAGCTTTTTGCTTCTTTTATGCTGTATTGTGTGAATGCACTCGCTGTGTAGTTGCTTGCATTTGAGTGGAATATTTTACATTTTTTTTTTCAAATTCTTTTGCAAGTATTTCTCATATGCATTTTCATAATGTTGCATTTGCTGACCAGTTTTTGTCCCCCTTTTATTTTTATATACATATATATATTTTTTTTTTGCATAAAACCGTTCGTTCAACCCCCTTGGCAGCATGCCACATTTGCCATATAAATAACCGACAGATGAGGAGGACAGAGGAACGGGGCTGGCCCTTTACTTTGCATTTTGCAGAACATTTTTGGCATGGAAATTATGAAAATGGGAAATGGGAAGTAGAAAAACATGCAAATGGCGCGCTAAACGAGAATGCTAGATGAAAACATTGTTTGGCCAAAGCGCCAGGCGCAGCACACTGACACGCACACACTAACACACATATATATACAAAAGGGATATGTAAGGATATGCAAGGATATGCATGCATGCAATCAGTCACAAAAATGCCGGCCTTTGTTTGCAGCCTCTGAATAAAGTCCAAGGGATAGAAAATCATCATCAACAGGAAAATGGGAAATGGAAAACAGAAACAGGGGTAGCTCAGGCTTGGGGTCATCGAGAGGTCAGCAACGGGATTTTCATGCTATTGTTGACAAGGGATGCAATACACACACACATACACACTCACACATATTGTAGCTACCATGCAATTTTTGCCTGCTTTTTGGGCAATTTTCACATTGTTTTTTGTTGACTATTGAAATTTGGAAATTTTGTTGCATTTGATACAATTTTTATTTTTATTTTTAATTTTTTATCTGTCTCCATGCAAAGGAGCTACAACAAGGATGAGGTTAAGGAAGCTGCCTGCCAGGCACGCGACGTGTTGCATCAAAACAAGCCGAGACAAACTATGGCACGCGTTGCAACCATTTTTTAGTGGCACGAACCGCCCTCAAAGGTTTTTTTCTTATTTATTGCTATACTCTTGAAAAGAGTCGTTTGGTTTGAATACTAAATGTGTAACGGTTAGCTGAATCAAACCAAAATTGATAATTAGATTAAATTTTAAAAAATAATATAATATTGAGTTAGTTAGCTATAAATTAAACTAATAAGCTACAAAATTATTTAATTACTAAAGTAAAATAATAATTTTGCGAGTTAGCTTATATTAAATTAAATTTATCAACCTTTCCGAGTCTTGTACTATTAAAATCACCAACTATTTATTATAAAGGCCTAGATAAATTGTTAAAGAATGTTTTCTGTGTTTCGCTGAACAGCCAATAATGTTTTCAAAATTTATTCAAATTAATAAATGAAATTCAACAAATTAATAATTAATATTTTCTGTTTTTCTGGCTAAAGAACAGATTTATTGGAGACTCATTTTATATAGTCGCTAGAGTATTTAATCTTCGACTCAGCACAATATCTAACGTGTATTATTTGTTTGTTATTTTTTCTTGCTCTTTCTCTCTTTTTTGTTCGTTCTTTAATCGGATCTGCATATGTTGTGTAAATTGATATAGCACGTCCCGCTCGACAGGATCATGCTGCTGCGCCGCATATGTGCATTTTATTCGTTTGCTGCCGAAACACGCGCCATTTTGACTTTAACCCCAAACGTGTGCGAGTGTGTGTGCGAGGGCTGCACAAGCTGGGGGTGGGTGTATGGCCGAAAAGGGGTGGCACATTATGCATAAGCGCAAGGGTTGCTCTATCTCTCTATATAGCGTGCTGCATATGGCGACGCTTTGTCATGCATATCGAACTGCGAGGGCTATGTCCATTTAATCCAGCTCCTGGCGGCCATTGGCAATTGTCAGCGCTCACTCATCCTGGCCATTATTGGCCCTGGCTCAGGTCATGGCACATTAATTGCACTTTTATGCCGTAATTTTTATTGATTTCTGCCGTGTCGATTCCACTTAATGCTTTCGCTTTGCATAATATGAGTATATAGACAAATTTCAATATTAACTTCCAGCTGTCAACGTTGTTTTTTTCATTTTTGTTCAATATATGCAAATATGCTATCAGAAAAGTTGAAGAACTTTCTCTGGATAGTGACTTACTTAACAATAGTTAATATAATTATGTTTAACAACAAAGAAATATTATTTTAAATTATTTTCTATTCTCTCTCTGCCTCTGCAGTGCTAAATTTTATTTTTGTTTTTAGTATTTAAGTATATGAATATGTTATTTTTTCCTTCTACTAGTTTTATGAGAAAAACTCTCCAAAATACGTTTCCACCCCAATTGCAAATTCGTAAATCTGTCATATCAAACAAGACTCAAATTTTAATTCCCAGTTAGAACCCCTACAAATGTTGCGTGTTTCCTTGACCGGCTTTGCATGATGCGATGCATTTCTTATAACAATTGCTATTATACCTTGATCCCTACTCCCCAACCTCTCGTGATTGTCCTTCTAGAACTTTGTCAATGTCTTGCCTTGACAATAGGCGATTTTCGGGGTATTTCGTTTATGGCATTTCGAAAGATTTCTAACGGTCATTTACGCTAGCTGAATTCTATGCAAAGTAAATTTAACTGTCACTCAACCAAGGGGTTGCTTGTTGCTTGTTACTAGGAGTTTGGGAGACGATCGTTGCCAGCAGTTAAAAAGTTTTTATCTTTTCTTGCGTAATGCTTGATTTCATATACATATACCAATGGGAGGTTTGTTGTCGATTATCATTCATTCATTTATTCTGTAATGGAATGAATGAAAGGAAAAACGAATAAATTTTAATAATAAGTAAAATCCACCCAGCTTTTAACAAAAACTATGAGATTTGATTCTTTTCTGTTCAACTACTCATTGAAATACTTCAAATCTTTTTATTCTTTATCAATTTTAATATTATTTTAACATAATACAAATATGTCATGATCAGATTCAGTACTCCGTGAAAGGAGTTGCAAACAGTCCAAGGGTCTTAACGAGTAAACTCATAACTACATGTTAAGTTTATCCACCGTGTAACTGGCTTACAACCAACTGCAGTCTAAACATTTTTAATGCCCAACAATTAGCCGAAAAGCAAGCGATCGCACTTATAAAAATGCCGCTCCCTTAAGAATCCCATCAATATTTCATACATCATAAAAAAAGAGAGAAGACAAGATAATAAAATTGCTAAAAATATCAAAACAAAATAAAAAACGAAAGCACGCGACAGAAGCGAGCGAAGAGGATGCCAAAAGGAAGGCAGGAGCCCCTACTTAAAAAAAGATGCTGCAAGCGAGAGACACGCAGCCAAAGCCTATAAAAAATCCTATTAAAAAGACGCACACACCAATACGAAAATACAACCAAACAAACAACCAACAGGCGGATCGATGGCGCATTAAAAAGGAGATTTACCTATAAAAAAAGGTAGACAGCAGATGAGAAGAGACCGAGGCCAACAAAATTGATAGGGAAAGCAACAGCAAGGGCGACAAACAGGATGACAGCAGAAGCAAACCGCTCAAAACGTCTGCCTGGCACGAGAGAAGTTAAAGAAGCTGCAAGCATCTCATCTCCTCTCTCTTTTTTAGGGAGCATAAAAAAAAAATTGAGGGTCGGCCGCAGCACGCGACTAGGAGAAGAGATCCAGACTCCTTGAAAGATCCTCATTTGCTTGCATACCTGGAGGACTGCACTTTGAACGCGCGCCGGATTCGATTTTTTGTAAATTTTTTCCCATTTTTTGTGAAGCGCAGCTGCTACTGAAAGATACAGAGCGTGATAGAGGGAGAGAGAGACAGTGATGCTGCAGAGGGGCAATAGTTGGGCGACATTTTGAAGTGTTCATTAGTCGCACATTTACATATCCAAATTGTCAGCTAGGTTAGGGCCGGAGGGGCGCACACGAAGAGGCATGCGACGCGTGTCTTGCGGCTTTTAATTGCTGTCAGCTTTGTGGGGACAACTGCAGAGAGCGCGTGAAAGTGTGCCAGAGGGAGGGAGGGGAATTAATGTGTTGCACACTTCGTTTGACATTCGAGTGGCTGCATCAGAGCCTGCAACACCTCCCCCACACACAGCCACACTTGCAACTCCCCTCGGTCTGTGTTTTTTGTGCGCTCCTTTTGTTTGATTTGTCATTTGATCGCCAACACAGTTGGCGCGATTAAAAAATTAAGTTTCCCCCCATTGAAAATAAGAAAAGTGTCGGCATTGTTTTTCTTAGAGTTCGCTGACTTCTTCGCTGGCAGACTTTGTGGTTTGATGAGTGCAACCACGTGGCACGGGCACGGGCCGAGGATGGGACCGGAGCTCGGGCGATTGGAGAGGGAGCTCTTTGGTGTTGATGTTGACTAATGTCGGCATTTCGACTAGGGCCAGATCACCTAACTTGGTTGTTAATCATTTAAAATAGTTTTGATATATGATGCAAAGATAAGCTACATATATCTGGCTACCCAGTTATCTACATACAGAATACAGATATTTTTGAAAGGTGACTTAAACGAAATCTCTGATTTGAATAAAATTACTTTTTGTAAAAGCAACAATTAATCTGCCATGATGAAGGAAAGCTTTTGCTGTGTAGAATTGTATTTAACATAATTTATAATAATGTAAACCATTTAAGAGAAGTATCATTTTGGTGAAGTCCATTGTTATTCCTCTTTCTTTTCTGTTATTCTTTTCTTCAGAGTTATTTCTATCTATAATTAAGATAAGAAGTATTCGAAATTATCCCTTGCTATATTGCTATCTAAAACAATGATAATATTCAAATACAGTAAAGGGTTTTTGCTAGTGATATCTAAAACTACAATCATGTCAATATTTCATGATCAAACGCAATTGAGCTAAATAAAATTTTGTTTAGTTTCTTTCAACTATTTTGAATCTTTACTTTCACTCTTGTTTCTTTCCCTTTTTGTTTTCACTGTGAAAAAGCAACTCGTAACAACTTTTCAGTCGACTTCGATGACGAATTGTGCCAACACACGCCAGGACAGCCCTCATATGGTGTTTCGAAATCGTCCTGGCATTCTTATGGCTTTCTATGACAGGATCTGAGGGGATCTAGGAGTCGGAGTCAGGGTAGGGGTAGGGGTAGGAGCTACTGGGTCCGTGGGGTGCTCGGCGTTTTTTCTATAGTTTCTACACACAAAAACACATTTTTAAAAATTGTTGTTGCTATTGTTGCGTCAGCGAGAGGTCCTTTGTGTATTATCCTTTGTGCCACTCGGTTTCTCTCTCTCTCTCTCTCTCTCTCTCTCTCTGTTTGTGAGTGAATGTGTACGTGTGTGTGTGCGGACGGGGCCAAAGGTTATCTAGGCGACATATAACGGCATGAGGCAGTCAGCGCACAGCTGCCGTTTCGTCATGTCCTGCGTGTGAGCACTGCCGTTTTATATGCCCCGACTGTGCTCCACATCGAGGCTCCACAACAGAATGTCAGAAATATGGAAAACCTGCCGCGTAATCCGCCGGCCGATGGCAAAAGCGAAAAATCATGCAATTTTTGTTTGTTCTATATTATGAGGGAATTTTGCCTGCCGTTCGGCTCATTAAAATTGTCAGTTCAGGGTGCGTCCATCAAATGGACAAGCACTACGAGTCTGTAGCATCCTTTTTGGCCAGTCAGTTCTTTTGGCTGTTCATTTTTGGCGGCATTTGTAGGTCACTCGCTGACCTACACTGACCAGCTGTCGTGTCCAGAGTGCTGTGTGCTGTGCCATTTTCGTCGGGGGTTGCTCTAAAGGGATATGGATACGCTGGTCATGCGAATTGAAGGTAGCCGCCGACTGACCATGTTGTGCGTGTCCTTGCAGCAGGCGTTGGGCAACATATACGAGTCATCTAATTGCGACTGCTGGTCGAAGGGGTTGCTACCCATGTGAAAGGCTACTATATATACAGAGTTATATATAGAGAAAGAAAATGGGCTTATGTAAAAACTCACCCGCTCCTCGTAATCATTATTGTTCTGACTGTTATCCTGTCTGCCTCCCCAGGCAGCACCCGCAAGTGCTGCAGCTCAAAAATTAACGCATTTTCATTTGGAAAATCAATGAAATTTTCATTTTTTGTTGCGCTATATTGTATTGTTTTCATTTTTTTTTTTTTTTTTTGCAAATCCTTTCGTTGCGCACGTGCTCAGTTATCCTGGCAGAGCTCAACCCTACAATCAACCACGCACGAGCTGACAGGCCCCTTTTGTGCGCCTGTCGTCGTTTCCCTTTGCTCTCCTCTTTTTTGTATCAATTTGCAATTTTTTTCACCCATTTTCAAGTTGGTTTCCACAACTCTTCCTTGATTGAGCCCCTCGCTTTAATGAAGGGGCGCGGCTGTGATTTCGAGCTAGTTTGCCAAGCGTGACATGAAATTCGATTTTTTTTTTAGTTTTTATTGCCAATTTCAGTTTTTTCGTGTATTTTTGAACGATTTTGTTTGGTGTTTTGGTTTCATCTGCCAAAAGGATAAGCGAAAGGGTGCGCGTGTCCTTTATGTGTCACACTTGATTATTGGGCCACCCCTAACACTGCGAAATTTAAAGTGTGAAAGGTGTTCGAAACAGTTTTTAAGTTTCCCAAAATGGGGTTGTTTTTAACGAAAAACAATTTGGGAGTATGTCAGCTGTATTTTTTATGGATACAAACTACTTACCAAGAGATTTTACTTTTGAAAAAAAGGATAAAACTGTATGATATTTTTTTTAACAATATTGATTTATATTGAAAAAAAATATATATATATATATATATAATAATAATAAAATTGCAAATTGACTTTTCATAATATATCTATATAGTTATGTAAATATAGAGCTATCATATATTTTCTTACCTCCATTTATAGGTAAATATACAATTTATAGATATTATTTATGTTCTGCTTCTAAAAATTTATATCATTTGAATACACAATTTTGAATTTGTACTTTTTACTTTTGTGCACTGAAATATGTGCCACCTGAAAAATTTTTGGTTTTTAATCGACTGCGGATATTATTTAAGCCGCGTAAAAGCCCAGAGGGCCATTTGTCGGTCGTCTTTATTTTTTTTTTTGGCAGCGTCTCGACCATTAGGCTTAAGAAAAATTGTCAACGGCTCCGAAGGACTACAATGCGATACGAGAGCCGAAGGATGCGCAGCGAGGCGAAATAAAATTAATTTTCGGAGCGCGAGAGAAGTGGAGAAAAAAATTAACAAAAAAGTAAGCAGTAGAAAGCAAAACAGTTTTTCATTTACCCCAGCCGAGGCAGTGCCGAGAGTGACGTCCACCTTCGCTTTTCTATTGCCCCTTGCTTAGCCTACTTGAGTACTTGCTGGGCTTGGCACGCCCCCTTCGTAGCCTCTGGTCCTAAAAATCTTTTTGGTAGCCCGTTGCCCCCTTTGTAAAAAATTAGATTCATTTGTGCGCGCTTGCTTTATTATTTAAATTCTTGCGTTATTTTTCTAAATTTTCGTCCTGCTTCTCGTTGTCCAGCAACGCTGTGCTTCTTCTTGTTTTTGTTATTGTTGTTCTACGAGTGGTCCACAGCGGAAAAAAACAGCAGTGCCGGAATTTTAATGGAAAATGCCGCCAAAGTAGAAAAAAATGTTTAAGCAAACAAAGACTTGAAAACTGGGAGGCTGTTTAAGCTGCTTTCAACTCGAAGGACACACGCTCTAAAAAGGATGTGCCGGACGCAGCAGCCGCGTAAATTGAAAGCCGCGTCGCTCGCTATCTGCCCGCCCGGTGTCGTTGACGCGGGCAGCTGTGGGCGTGGCACATGACATGAATGCCCGGCGGCTCATTTCAAGTGAAAAATGAGCAAAAAATGAAATGAAACAATGGATGAGTGAGCGGGCGCCCGGGCCATAGATAGAGCTAGCCAGGACGAACACGTAGATGAAGAAGATTCCAGCGAGAATGAAAATCGTGGCCAATTTTAATTTTTCTATCTCGCTGCTTACATTTCTAATGGGCATTTTTCGGTGGGTTAATGTGCTGTTAGGGTGAAAGCTAAAGAAAGACGAAGCAGTAGAGGAAGAGAATCCTCCCCCCACACTCACCCACTGTGCTAGCATTTGCACGGCAGCTAAAAGTTTAGCCTACCGGGCCCCACGCTCCACCCGGACTGATGAATAATGACAACGCACAAAAAGTGAACTTTCATGCTGGCCCCAGCATTCGAGTGGGTGTGGCTGTTGGACGTTGGACGTTGTATCTTTGTCCGGCGTACTTAAAAATGCGCAAATACGATGCCTGTGCTTACACTGTGCTCAAGATTTACATAGCAGATTAATGTTTCGTAGCCAGGCTGAACAGTGTGAGAAGCGAGCATCGAAGAGCGACGCCAGCGGTGCTACTGAACTGATATGATGCTTAGAATGGAATGGCACACCATTTAGAAACTACAGCTAGCAGCTTAAACTCCTCAATTAATTTAAATATATATGTATAAAATACATTACGGGTATTATTTATATTTAATAATAGGATATAGGATGTAAACTATATATTTAGAAAGAAGTATTGAAATTGTACTTCAATGTTATCGATAAATAATATCGATGACATTTTTGTGATTTTTTCATATTAAAATATGTATAATTATAAAAGTTATACTTTTGTATAGAATATTAAAAAAAAGTAAAGAATTGAAATTGTTCTATAATTTTTATCGATAAATAATACCGATGAATGATGAAGTGTAATCAAGTTATACCTTAGTAAATTCACAGAATTTAAGATTTATATATTTTGAATTCTGAAGTATACTGGCCTCGCTAGAAATAATTGAAACTGATTAATCGATAAATACTGTTTCCAAGTCCTACTTTCAATCAATTTTTATTAAACTTGACTTTGGATTCATCAATGACTTTAAGAATTAGTTTTTACCATCGTCATTTTTATAGCCCGCAAGGTCTTTTAAATTCTAAGCACACGCGTCATATATTTGTCATCCTCTGCCTTTTCTGCAGCTCCTTCTGCGAGGCCTTTACTGTCTCTCTCTCCCTCTCTTACTCTCTGTTGCTCTCTCGCATTCAACTGCTAATGAAAAAGCTTTGAGGGCAGACGCACTCAAAAATTAAATTAAATAAAGCCTTTTGTGCGCAGGCAGCGAGGCGCACTTGAGGCTCAGCCACGCCTTCCTCAGTCCCGCTGCTTAGCCTTCGAGTTGTGCATGAGTTTTCGTGCAAAAGTTTGTTTTGCATTTGCCTTAGAAACAAAACGAAGCAAAAGCAATAGAAGGGACCAGAACCTTATCGCACTGCCAGCTACAACAAAGCCAGTTGCCAAGGACAATAGAAAAGCGCGACAAGCAGGACAAAACTGGTCGCAAGTAGCTACCAGCCTGTCCAGCCGCGCGGCAGCCCAGCTCTCAATGGCTGCTGGCAAATATTTCCTTTCTTATTTTAATTTTTTTTTTGTGAATATTTCGCTTTTAATTTCCAAAGCGCAAATTACGCTCGTGTGCCTTAAATATTAAAAGAGGCTGTGGGGCTGTTGTTTGCTTTTCAGTTTTTTTTTTTGGTTATCCTTTTGGCCATTTCGCATGGCCAATGACGTGCCAGGACATTATCTGGCGCGTTGTGTCCTTTCATTTTAACGCGGCCATTATCGCGATGCCTTCTGCTGCTCTGTCGCTGTTGCTGTTGCTGGCTTCTTCTATTTCGCCTTCTTCTTGTTTATACAGCGGCATTCGCTTGGCTACGCGTTTAATTAGCCGCCATTTTGAATACTCTTGCAAAGGGTATAACAGTTAGGTGACTCGAGTTGAGGCACGAGTAGGAGGAGTTAAATATGCAAACTCTACAGGTCTTAACTCATATAGATTGTGGATTCTATATAACAGTGTTATTTATATAATGTATTAGCCTACGTTTGTATTTATATAGTGCTAAGCACTTTCTATTTCTTATATGTATATTAACAAAATTTAACAGTAATCTGAAAATAGTTCAAAATATATACAAACGCAGATAATATCTACTAGATATTTATTTATAGAACTATAAATTAATAATAAACAAAAATTCAAAGTATTATAGACTTCAGCTTGTTGGTCGTTCTTAAAGAGCATTTATTCGTCGATTCGGTATATTGGAATTTATATTATTTTCTCTATATCTATTTAGTCATTCCGTATTTCTATATACTTTCTTTGTATTGTTTGACGCTGAATGAGAATGATGATGGGCAATCCTATTGTCCTGTCATTTGCATAGCAAATGGTCCTGCCCCGCACTGTCGACTGTCATCGTTTGTCTTAGTTTTTAATTATCACAGAGCACAGGAAATTCCCAGTGCCGAAAAGTTTTCACATGAGTTCACTTGAGCGCAGCGCCTTATAACAGGTGCGGGTATTTCAACTGTCCACTTATTACATATACACATATGTTATACATATATTTTAAGTTATACAACACTGTTTTGGTATAACACTTGACAACACTTTGTAAACCTCTTTATTTCCACTTTTATTAAACCCATTATGATCGCGTGCTTAACAAATTAGCCAGCAATTAGCGGTGTCATCAGCGGCAACCCTTTCGTGCCCAACCCCTTGGTGTACAACCCTTCATGCGTTCACCCCTTTTGCCTTGATGCGTTTAATAAGTCATTAGGGGTTTACGCTTTGGGGTAAACCCTTTGGCAGGGGGTTGACTCTGTTCACTGACGACTTCATCAACACCAAAACAACAACTTGGGAAGTTAAGTGGCATGTCCCACAAAAAGGGTTTAGTTACACATTTCAAGGGATATTCAAGGACATTTCAGAAACATTTGCAGCGCTTGTTGTGACAGTTTTTTTTTCAGGCAAGATCCCAATGACAACGCCCACCATAATTCCAGCAAATTGCGCAACATTTTACTTTGAAAAAAATAGAAGCAAAATATAAAGAATAGAAAAAAAGGAGCACATAAAGAACAACAATTTCCCAGAATCCTTTTGGGCAGCAAACACTTAAAAGAGAGAGAAGAAGGAAAACTGCAACTGAACAATAGAAAAAACATTCGGACAAAAGAGGAACAATAGAGCAAATCCTTTAATTTGTTGTTATCCTTTTGAAGAAATGTGAGTCGTTAATGTGCTGCCCAATCTCCTTGCCGGGTATCCTCGCTAAGTACAGTCGCTGCTCAGCCAAAGAAAATTTATGTAACTCTCACACCAAACTGACGTTATCTTGCGCTTCTTGAGCTACTGCCTGAGTTAGCTATATTTATAAATACATATATATATGTTCATATATGTATATGAGGAGGCGCTATTGTCATCGTAAATTCCAATTTCGAAGCAGGCTCGAATAGACGCAGGTGTGTGTGTGTGGCCTTATCGGGCGAACTAGATCAAAGTAATAAAGGAACTAACAAAACGTTGCTTAACCCTTGGGGTAAGCCTCTTGCTTGGTCAACTTTTCACATTTTAATTGGTTAATTGCCTGTTACGAACGCCTTCGCGTCTTTTGTTTAACTAGAAATGTAAATGAAGCAGCGTCAGCAAAGGGTCGATCGTAGATAGACTGTAGAGTTATGCGAGTGGCCTTAATGTAGGTCAGTTTTGTGGAGGGGACCGACCCTTCCACTAACTAGGCAACTGCTCGGTATATACTATATAGATAAAGAGGAAACTCGATTTGTGGTTAGTTGAGAATAAAACCTACTAAGAGTTGACTGAATTTCTTTCCAGAATTGTCGAGGTATTAAATAAACAGTATATAGAATTTTTAGGCATGAAAGTCTACTGGTCAAGCAAGGATGTCTAGGGTTGCGACTCGCTTAATTTGCAAGCAACTCTTCAATCCATTATAGTTCAAGTGTTGCTTGAACTGATTGCAGAAGCCAGCTCTAAATGTGCCGTTGTCATCGTCGTGCTGTTCGCTGTGGGCGCGCAAATTGAAAAACGTTGGCCTGCCCTCGTGTTGTAGGGCTCCAGCACCGCCCCGCCCGCCCCTTTCGCTGTCCTATTTTGAACTGACAACAACAAAGCAAATGGTAAAATGGTAAAAAGGAAGCGCAAAAGGCGAAAAGTTTTCGTTTTATTCCTTCTCTTTCGTTGAGAAATCTATTTGGTCTGGGCTTATCCCACGAACCGAAAATGGGCCTATGCCAGGACATCCTGTGAGCTGCTGTGTCCTTTAACTGTAAACAAACACAGCAAAGCTGCAAATATTAAAAAAAAATAGAAGGAAACGAAGAGAAAATGCCACGCAAAAGGTTCATCAATGTGCACAAAGATTGGAGGAGCCGAGGAATTGGTGGGGCCTAAAAATGAAAAATAAATAAAGCAACTTGAAAGTTGACAGGCAACCAGGATTTGAACCCGAGCCCAAGGAACTCCCACAAAGAGTCCATTTGCTGGTGTTGTTGTTGCTGTTGTTGTTGTCTGTTTTTGACAAACAAATCCTTGGGCGGCGAATCCTTCGTTGTGCGTGGTTACGCTTGCCAGGACAACGGACCCGATGGGCCCGTCGACTCGCGTCGTAGTTTCCG